GTGAACACTTTCGGCAAAGCAGAAATCGAAGGGAACTTACCTCATCTAATGAAGGGAATCTACGAAAAGCAGCAACCATGTTCCACAGCGAGTCTATCTATGCAGACCTACCCCAAAAGGCCAAAGGAGCTAGGAGGCAAAACAAAGAGGCTGAGGAATCCCGTTTCTCAGAAAGAAACATTTAATAGGGATTTACAAACAAGCCATGTTTCTGGTGGCCACAAGACAGTGGACCCCCTCTGGAAAGTATTCTTTTTTTTTTTTTTTTTTTTGGACGAAAGTCTCCACTGCTGCCTGGCCCGGGCTAGAGTGCTGTGGCGTCAGCCTAGCTCACAGCAACCTCAAACTCCTGGGCTCAAGCAATCCTCCTGCCTCAGCCTCCCGAGAGGCTGTGACTACACAGGCATGCGCCACCATGCCCAGCTAATTTTCTTTTCTGTATATTTTTAGTTGTCCAGCTAATTTTTTCTATTTTTAGTAGAGACGGGGTCTCGCTCTTGCTCAAGCTGGTCTCGAACTCCTGAGCTCAAACGATCCGCCTGCCCCAGCCTCCCAGAGTGCCAGGATTACAGGCGCGAGCCATCGCACCTGGCTGAAAGTATTCTTTATATAGCAAGTTTTTCTTGGTAAACTGTGTGCCACTGGTCATGTCTCGAGGTCAGATAAACCCTTTATGAGGGTTGTCTATGCCATAGGAATTGTTCCTCTAGGAGGGGCTGTCTGGGCTGCAGGAACTCCTTGTCATGCAGGGGTCAAACATCAGTCCCCAGGACTGGTTTGGCTTCAAGATGGCGTCACTCTTGCCACTCAACAGGCTGGTTTCCTACAGACAAAAACCCTGCATTCAGCTTGATACTTAACAATGAAGGACTGGATGCTTGCCCTCAGATCAGGGGCAAGGCAGAGATGTCCAGCGTACTCACTCCTATTCAACGTCACGTTGGCAATCCTAGCCAATGCAATAAAGTAAGAAAAACAAATAAAAGACATAGGGATTAGAAAGGAAGGACTAAAAATGTCCCTATTCATAGATGATATGAAAGTCTATGTAGAAAATCCCAATAATTCTACCCAAAAAAAAAAAGTCAGAACACTAATAAGTCAACTTAGCAGGGTTGTAGGATCAAAACACAGTCCTATCCGTATATAGTAGCAATGAACAACTGGAAACCAAAGTTCTAAAAGCAATATCATTTACAATAGCTCCTGACAAATCAGTCATTCAATACTTTGGTATTACTCTAGGAAGGCACGTACAGGATTTCTGTGCTGAAAACTACCAAAAACTGACTAAAGACATCAAGGAAGTCCTGAGTAAATGGACAGACATACTGTGTTCCTGAGTCAGAGGACTTGATGTGGTCGATATGCCGGTTCTCCCCAAAAGGATGTACCAATTTCAGTCAAAATCCCCGTGGGAAATCTTGTAGATACAGACAAGCTTATTCCACAATGTCTGCGGATCAGAGGAGTCAAAATCGTCCTGAAGGGGAAGAAAACCGGAGGATTCTGACAGCGAAGACTCGTCTCGAAGCCAAAGCAAGGAGCCGGCGCGTTGGCAGAGGGTGAGCCCGCAGGTCACTGACCCACCCTCTGTCTCTACAGATCTGCCCGTTCTGGACAGTTGGTGCAAAAGGAGTCGTGCACTATGGGCTCTTTGTGACTGGCTTCTTTCGCTAAGCAAAGTGTTTCGGTGTGCTTTTTATTGCCGAGTGATAGTCCATGATTCTGTTATCCGTCGTCAGCTGTGGGCGTCTGGGCCGTTCCCACCTTTCGGCTGCTGCGGGGGTGCCGCTGCGCACGCCGTGTGCAGAGCTGTGTGCGGCCGGCACGCTCCTCCTCCCAGGCAGACACTGGGGGGCCGTGGGGGGTCGTGTGTAGCTCCGGGCGCAGCCGTTTTCAGACCACTTTGCCTTCCCTCCTGCAGCTGCGAGGGCTCCAGTGTCTACACAAGCAGCACCTGCTGTTGTCACTGTTTGGTGACGCCGTCCAAGCGGGCGCGAGGTGGAGTCCCACTGCGGCTGTGATGCGTATGGCCTTGAAGGCTGATGGTGTCGGGCACGTTTTCACGCGAGTACGGGCCATTCGTGTCTCTCCTTTGGAGAAATGCCTGTTCGAACCCTTGGCACATTTTCTCACTGGGGTGTTTGCCCTTCTGTTGTTCAGTTGTAAAAAGTTCTTTGTGTGTCTGGATACAAGTCTCTTATCAGACATGGGATTTGCAAATATTTTCTCCTGTTCCACGGGCTGTCTTTTCAGCGTTTTTGATGGTGTCCTTTGAAACACAAAATCTTCTCCTTTTACTGTTCACTTTATCTTTTCTGTCGTTTCCTGTGCTTTCTGCGTCACATTTAGGACGACGGTCACAGAGATGTTCCCCTCCGCTTCCCTCCGAAAGTTTTGTGGCTTGGGGTTTCACAGTTAGGTCTGGGACCCACTGCGAGTTATATTTTGTGCGTGTGGTAAGGGAGGGACGTGCTGTGGATTCGATCCGGGCCCCGAGGGGTCCTTGGGAGCGTGGCCTTCAGGGTCTTTGCAGGTGTGAGCTGCGTAGGCCGAGATCACGCTGGATCAGGGCAGGTCCCAAATCCGGTGACTGGTGCCCTCACGAGGAGGAAGAGATTTGAAGACACAGAGGCAGAGGTCAGACCCAGGCGGCTGCAGGCCAGGTGCCACCAGCAGCCACCAGCAGCCAGGAGCGAGGCCTGGAGCAGGTTCTCGCTCAGAGCCCAGAAGGAGCCTGCCCTGCCAACACCTCCGTCTCAGACTTCCAGCTTCCGAACTCTGAGAAGACGAACGTCTGTCATCACGAGCCGTCCCGTCCGCGTCGATTCGGTACGGCAGCAGCCCTGGACGAGGGAGGGGTCCGCCTTCACCCTTTAGCACGCCCAGCGGTCCCGGCACCATCTGTTGAAAAGACCGCTCTTTCCCCATTGCCTGGTCTCGCCGCCTCGTCACAATCAGCTGAGCACACAGGCAAGGGCGGCGCTCTGCACCCCCATCCCGCCCACTGGTCCCCGAGTCTGCCCTGGGCCTGGACCGGCGCCAACCTCGCCGCCCTGGCCGCGGAAGCTTCAAAGGAGGCTTTGAAATCGGGAAGTGTGAATCCTCCAACTCTGTCGCCTTCGAGACTGTTTCAGCTATTCCGGAACTCTCCTGTTTCTCGGTATGTAGTTCTTTTGTGGTTTTTAGAGCACACGATCCTGAATGCTTTATTCCTTGTGTTGCTGTTGTGAATGGGACTGTTTTTTTTTAGACAGAGTCTCAATCCGTTGCCCGAGCTAGAGTGCCGTGGCGTCAGCCTAGCTCACAGCAACCTCAAGCTCCTGGGCTCAAGCGATCCTCCTGCCTCAGCCTCCCGAGTAGCTGGGACTACAGGCATGCGCCACCATGCCCGGCTAATTTTTCTATGTATATTTTTAGTTGTCCAGCTAATTTCTTTCCATTTTTAGTAGAGACGGGGTCTCGCTCTTGCTCAGGCTGGTCTCGAACTCCTGACCTCGAGCAATCCGCCTGCCTGGGCCTCCCAGAGTGCTGGGATTACAGGCGTGAGCCACCGGGCCCGGCCGGGACTGTTTTCTTGACTTCGTTTTCATTGCTCTGCGTAGAGACATGCTGCACATCTGCATGCTGATCTTGCATGCTGCGGCCTTGCTGAGCTTCTTTACTATTGCTAATGTTTTTTAGTGCATTTCTCCCTCGTTTCTAGATACATGATCATGTCATCTGCAAACAGACAGTGTTACTTCCGCCTTTCCCATCTGGATGTCTTTGATTTCTTTACCTTGACTGACAGCCTTGGCTGGAACCTGCGGTCCCACGTCGAAGGAGGGCGGCGAGAGGGACGTCCTCGTCTTGTTCCTGACCTTCGGGAAGTGTCCGGCCGTTCACCATTAAGCAGGACGTGCGCTGTGGGGCTTTGCCACGTCCCTTTTGTCAGGCTGAGGATGTTCTCTTTCATTCCCAGATTTTAGAATGTGGTAATTAATTTTTAAGTAAGGCATGAAAGTGATTCGACACAGGAAAGATAGTCTTTTCACCAAATTGGACATCCATGTGTAAAAACAACCAAAAAAGGGTCTTCATCCTAGACCTCATCCCTTATGCAGCAATAACTCAAAATGTATCACAGACCTAAAGGTAACGTGTAAAGCTATAAAACTTTGAGAAGGAAAAAAAATAGAAGAAAATCTTCACAACCTAGGGTTGGGCCAAAAGCTTTCTTAGACATGACATCAAAAACACAATCCATAAAAGAGAAATCAATAAATTGGGCTTCATCAAAATTATAAACTTTTTGCTGTGTGAAAGTCACTGTTAAGAGAATGAAAAAACAAGTTATACTCTGGGAGAAAGTATTTGTAAAATGCATGTCACACAGCAGACTTATGTGCAAAATATATATTTTTTTAATTCTTAAAATTCATGGCCAGGTTTGGTGGCTCACACCTATAATCCCAGCACCCTGGGAGGCCAAGGCAGGAGGCTCCCTTAAGGTTGGAGTTCAAGACCAGCCTGAGTAAGAGCGAATTAGGTGGATGTGGTGGGGTGCGAGGTAATCCCAGCTACTCCGAGCCCAGAAGTTGGAGATTGCAGTGAGCTATGATAATGCCACTTTATCTAGCCTAGGTGACAGAGCAAGACCCGGTCTCTAAAAAAAAAAAAAAAAAAAAAAAATCTTAAAAATTAGCAGGGAAAAAACAACCGTATTTTATTTTATTTTATTTTTGCGACAGAGTCTCACTCCGTTGCCCTGGATAGAATGCCATGGCATCAGCCTAGCTCATAGCAACCTCAAACTCCTGGGCTCAAGCGATCCTCCTGCCTCAGCCTCCCGCGTAGCTGGGACTACAGGCATGTGCCACCATGCCCGGCTAATTTTTTCTATATATTTTTAGTTGGCCAATTAATTTCTTTCTATTTTTAGTAGAGACGGGGTCTCGCTCTTGCTCAGGCTGGTTTTGAACTCCTGACCTTGAGCGATCCTTGAGCCACCGCGCCCGGCCTACCCCAGTTTAAAATGGCCAACTTCATTCAGTATCAAATCCCACCTTGCGTGCTTCCTGCAGGCCTGCCGCTGTCCAGGGAGGGACATAATTTGCGAAATAAATAAATAAATGAGGGCAAAAGACTTGAGTAGACGTGTCACCAAAGAGGATATACGGACGTCACATCAGCACTCAAGGAGACAGGCTCCGTTAGGGACACGCAGATGTCAGCGATGACGGCCCAGGGATGGCCACGAGCGGGCAGCGGCTGGGGGCTCATGTCCGTGCCAGCTCGCAGATTTAAACCCCAACACATCGGTGCTCACAAATGGATTAGAAGAGTCCACCGTAAGACAAACACATTCTGTTTCTATACTTCACATTTAAAATGAGAACACGGAAATGTTGAAAATAAGAAAATTGGAAAAGGCATCACGCAAGCGTGAGCTGAAAGCAAGCCTGTGCGCCTGTAACACCGGGCTTTCGGCAAAAGGATCCGAGGAGAAAGGAGATCAGTCATATCGACAAAGGTTCAGTTCACCAGGAAGACAGGAAAGCCTCGCAGTCGTGTGCACACGGTAACGCAGACGCGTGTCGTAGGGCAGATACGGATGCAGACGTAGACTGCGGCGGGGCACATGCATAAAGCACAGGCCAACAACGACAGGTGAGGCAGGCGTGTCCGCACTCACAGGCGATGGTGTCACAGCTGTCTGCCCGGCAGAGCAGACCCGACCCAGCTGGCTGGCACAGAACACCACACCAGACAGCCGCAGGAGGACGTAACAGGAGCTGGGCCGAAAGGCAAGTCTCAGAAATTTCAAGTGCATGAGATCATACAGATGATGTTCTTTGATGATAATGCAGCTCAGCCAGCTTAAAAAAATAGAGAGACCATACGTATGCAAGTTACGAAATGCCCTTCTCGATAAACCCATGGGGTAAAGGAGAAATCGCATCGGTAGAAAACATTTCGAGCTGAGTTATAAGGAAATACTGTATATCGAAGCCTGTGGCATTCAGCTAAACCAGTGCTTAGGAGGAAACATACAGGTTTGAATGCATATATTTTGAAAGAAGAAATTATGAAAATCAGTGAACTAAGCGTCCAACTCAACAAATTAGAAAAAGAAAAGGAAATTAAAGCCAAGTAATGTGGAAGAAAGGAAATTACAAAGGGCAAAAATTAATGAATTTTTTTAAAAAACACAACAAAGCAGGGCGCAGTGGCTCAGGCCTGTAATCTTAGAACTCTGCGAGGCCGAGGCGGGCAGATCGCTCAAGGTCAGGGGTTCGAAGCCAGCCTGAGCAAGAGCAAGACCTCGTCTCTACTGATAATAGAAAGAAATTAATTGGCCAACTAAAAATATATAGAAAAAATTAGCCGGGCATGGTGGCGCATGCCTGTAGTCCCAGCTACTTGGGAGGCTGAGGCAGGAGGATGGCTTGAGCCCAGGAATGTGAGGTTGCTGTGAGCTGGGCTGACACCATGGCACTCTAGCCGGGGCAACAGAGTGAGTCTCCCTGCCTAAAATAAATAAATAAATAAATAAAACACAACAGACAGGATCAACAAAGCAAACAGGTGGCTTTGTGACGGGGCGATGGCTTTGATAACCTCTGGGAAAACTGGCCCAGATAAGAAGAGAGAGACACAAATAACCAACACAAGCCATGACAGACAGGATGTAGCAGACATTAAAAAATAATAGGAGGGTATTTAGAACAGCTGTATAAATCATTTGAAATCATCGATGACTAATTTCTTTAAAAATACAACTTGTCAAAAATAAGTGGGAATTTGGAATAGTCCTGGAAAAATAAAAGAAGCTGAATCCACTAAGAAAAGCCTTCGCACAAAGAAAATTTCAAGCCAGAAGTCTTCAGTAGCGTTCCAAACGTTTAAGGAAGAAATGATCAAATTTTACCCCCCAAAATTATTTTGGAGGTTAGAAAAATAAGTAGTGATCCATCCCCAGCTCAGTTTTGGAAGCCAACTTAACAAGAAATGGAAATGATAGGCCAGCGACACTCAAGAACAGAGAGGCAAAACCCTAGACAGAAATAACAGCTCGAACTCAATGGCAGGCTAGAAGGATGAGACAGGCTGGGCGTGGTGGCTCACGCCTGTGGTCCCAGCACTCTGGGAGGGAGTGCTGGGGAGGATCACTTGAGACCAGCCTGAGCAAGAGGGAGACCCTGTCTCTACTAAAAATAGAAAAAATTAGCCAGGCGTGGTGGCTCATCCTTGTAGTCCCAGCTGCTCAGGAAGCTGAGGCAGGAGGATCACTTAAGCTTCAAATTTGGAGGTTGCGGTGAGCTGTGATGATGTCACTGCACTCTGGCATGGGTGACACAGTGAGACCCTGTCTCAAAAAATATATATATATATAAATGAATGTTTAGAATTAATATGTACATTTAGCAAGATTGTTTATACAGGTCAATATGTAGAAATCAATAATGTTTCCAGGCCGGGCGCTGTGGCTCACGCCTGTAATCCTAGCTCTTGGGAGGCCGAGGCGGGCGGATTGCTCAAGGTCAGGAGTTCAAAACCAGCCTGAGCAAGAGCGAGCCCCTTGTCTCTACTATAAATAGAAAGAAATCAATTGGCCAACTGACATATATATATAAAAAATTAGCCGGGCATGGTGGCACATGCCTGTAGTCCCAGCTACTTGGGAGGCTGAGGCAGAAGGATCACTCGAGCCCAGGAGTTTGAGGTTGCTGTGAGCTAGGCTGACGCCACGGCACTCACTCTAGCCTGGACAACAAAGCGAGACTCTGTCTCAAAAAAAAAAAAATAATGTTTCCACAATTTTCAACAGAAAATTAAATGCCAAAATACAGAGACTATTCACAATACGTCATAAAGATCAAATATGAAGAAACAAATCTAACAAAAGAAGCATATTACCTTTGAGAAACCACAATACATTACCAAACACCTAAATAAATGGAGACATGTGTTTGTAAGTCAGAAGAATCAATATTACAAAGATCTAAATTCTCCCCAAACTGATCTATAGATTCCATGGAATGCCAAATAAAATCCCACAGTGTTTTCCTGATATCGACAAACTGGCCGTAGACTGTACGTAGTAATGCAAAGGGTAAAGAGTCGAGCCACTCCGAAGTGGGCCGGGAGGGAGGGCATGCCCAGCACGCAGGAAGGCTCCTCCCAGGCGGGAGGAGTTGACAGCACCACGGCGTTCACAAAGGGACAGGGCAGTGAGCCATTATTTGGATTTTTCATGGAAAACATCGCAATGGCATTTAAAATGGAGAATTTGTTCTTGAGCATATAAGTTTTTAAAAATTAGAAATAATAACCAAAATTCTCCCCTTCCAACAACTCCTAGGTCTAGACGGTTCTAATCAATTCTCCAGGAACAGTAATTCCTGTCTCAACAAGTTATTCCGGAAAATTGCAAAGGCTGCAATGAGGCAGGAAATGCAGGGAATTACAAAGATCAGGGAAATACAAAGAACAAAAGGAAAGGAGAAGGAGAGAAAACGACAGACCCATGTCACTGTGAACATAGGCATGGCTATCCTCAATAACATCTTGGCCAACTGAAATCAACTGGACACGAAAAAGTGACAGCATCACGATCAAATAGCTTATCCCAGTAATGCCAGGATGGTTCGGCATGGGAAAATGCATTGCTGTAATTAATGCAATTCATTACAATAAAGGAGAAATCTTTATGATCGTCCTAATTAATGAAGATAAAACATTTGATATGTACAACCCTAAAAAAAAACCTTTAGGAAGGTAAGACCGGGGAAACTCTGTGACTTGGCAAAAGCCACCCAGCAGAAGCATCCAGCACGCGGTGCCCTTCCTAGAGCGTGAGTCCCAAGCCCTGTGGGACTGAGAGCAAGGTGCCCACCCACGGTCACCGCGGCGACCGGCAAGCGTGAGCTCCGTGGCCGAAGGAACCCGAGGTAACCACGGTGTCCCTCACCTGCGTGACAGCAGGCAGCAGTCCTTCCATCTGTGAGCCCCGCGGTTCTGCTCCTCCGGTGGAAGCCCGGAGACACCCACGGTGATGAAGCACCCGGGGACACCCACGGTGATGGAGCACCCAGGGACACCCACGGTGATGGAGCACCCGGGGACACCCACGGTGATGGAGCACCCGGGGACACCCACGGTGATGGAGCACCCGGGGACACCCACGGTGATGGAGCACCCGGGCACACCCACGGTGATGGAGCACCCGGGGACACCCACGGTGATGGAGCACCCGGGGACACCCAGGGTGATGGAGCACCCGGGGACACCCACGGTGATGGAGCACCCGGGCACACCCACGGTGATGAAGCACCCGGGCACACCCACGGTGATGAAAGCAATGTGGCGTTGGTGCAGGGCCAGCCGCCGGGCCAGAGGTGGGTCAGCGCCCGGCGCCAGCGAGGACGGGAGCCAGATGTGGATGAAGTGGCCGCAGGGACCGTGAGGAGGGCAGGCCCGTGGCAGGCGGCGCGGGCGACCGGCCGCTGCGGGGGACTCCCGCGTGACGCTGCCTGCAGGGGCGGACTCAGGGGGGAGGGGACCCAAGACCCGCGTGTGAAAGGCAGGGGTGACAGGAGGTAGTGTGGGAGAAGGTGGCCAGGAGAGGGACTCGCGTCCTCGACAAAATGCTAGAAGTAAAAGCCAAGAGGCCAAAGATTTGACTGTGACAGAATTGAAAATTTCTGAGAAACCACGGGCAAAATTTTAACCAGATGAGAAAATGGGAGGAGACATTTATGATGTGTGAAAACATCGAGGGGGTCGTGTCTCGAATTTTCAAGGGGTTCCTGCAAGTCAGTTTTAAAAAGACAGCAGTCCCCGAAGAAAAGTGACCACAGGGCTTGACCAGGCAGGCAGCTGACAGGAGAGGAAATCCAAAAACTGAGCAAGCGCATGACAAGATGCTCGGACTCAATGATCAGGGACGTGTAAGTCACGTGGAGAGGCCGCTCCACACCTGTCCCGCTGGCCAACCTGTAGCAGCAAGAAGGTGCTCCCAGGGCCAGCAGGAGCGGACGGCCCCGAGCAGGCGGAGAGTGACGGGCCCTGAGCTCCCCACGCTGCTCCCCCAGGCCCGCCTGGGAGCCGGGTCCCCCGTGGCGGCCGAGGACTGAGGGGCTGTGCGCCCACCTGCGCAGTGGGTAGGGACATGGTGAATGGACCCCACTGGACACGTGGGACATTTGCGTCGATTGGAAGCAGTGAGTGGCTGCACACGGAGCTCAGAGGATGGAGCTGTGAAGCACACTAAGTGCAAACAAGCAGAATGGGCAGACACAACGGCCTGCACGAGTTAGGACCGCGGTCGCCACACTGTGTGCCGAGGCACCCCAGGGTGCCACGGGGAATTTTCAGGGGTGCTGCAAGGTATTTTAAAGTTTTGAGGGAAACACGGGGATGCCAACATGTCAGGCACCTCGGGAACAGCTCAAGAGAGCTCAGAGTTTCGACGCTGGGCTGCCCGTCTCTTTCGAAGAGACCTCTCCGGGCAGCGGGACCGGCGGCAGGGCCAGGACTGACAGCGGGCGCCAGGCAGAGATCAGCGCGGACCGGGACTCGCGGGGGCCGGCGTCCAGCCTGACCGAGGTCCGCAGAGCCGTGCAGGGACTGACAGACCCAACATCCTATTAGTAAATGATTATAATTACTTAATAATTAAATTAAGGGCATTCTTTTATTTTCTGATTTATGTGAGGTTTTCTCCCAAATTGCTACTAAGTTGTTAGGACATAAACACTTCGGCCGTTCGGCCCTGGTAGTCAGGACTCTCGCGTGCTTCCTTTGACCGAGGGGTGCCGAGGAAACACAGCTCAGACGGCGCAGGAAGGGCTGGGTCAGGGGGCGCCAGCCGCCGCCGCAGCAGCCAGACCCGAGCCCTGCCGTCCCCACCCAGCCCTGCGCCTGGCTCGCTCGCCGGGCCGCACAGGTGTCCGGTCGCCGCGGGAGGAGGCCGCGACGGACCGGCGGGCGGTGCAGCAGGCAGCGCCGTCCGTGGAGGCAGCCGGGCAGGAACTCCCTCCGCTCCTCCTCTCTGCCCAGGTGCGCCAGGGCGCCGCCCTCCTGGGGCCCAGGGTCCCTCCGGCAACCCGCCCGCCAGAAACGCACACGCACACGCACATGGCAGGGCCGCTGTCCGGCCGCTCGCACTGCGGCTCGGCCTCCTAAGGTGACCCTTAAGAGGACACAGGGTCCCTTGGCTGACTGAGGGGCGTCCCCAGGGCCCTGCGGCCGCTCGTCTCTTGAGCTTCTTTCCCGCAGCTGTGGCCGGGGAGCGGCGGCTTCTCCTGCCACCGAGCCCCAGGTCCTCTCCCTGCCCTTGGTCTCTGCTCACAAAGCCGCCAGCACTTGCCCGGCCGTCTCTGTGCGGTGACACGAAGCGACAGCCCTCACGCGGTCACTGCCGGGCCTGTCCCGGCTCCTCCCGGAACCACAGGGCTGGCGGTCACAGCGCCGTCCCTGCAGCCGTCTGACCAGAGGTGTGCGCCGGCCCCCCAGCCCGGCCGCAGCAGCCCCCCACCCCCGCCGCTGGCCGGGCGGCCCGGGCCCGGCCCCCTGAGGCAGTGAGGCCGTGGGGGCCGCCGCACGCCCGCAGGTCCTTCCTTTCAAGCACTGTCCGTGCGGGCCACCAAGGCCCTGCCGACCCCACCTGCCCTGCGTCTTCCTCGCACCGTGCCAGGCCCCGGGCCTGCCCCCGCCCACCGGGCCCCTTCTCCAGCCGCCCACAGCCAAGAGAGCCACAGACGGACGGGACCCCGCCCAGCCTGCCACACCCCTGCGCCACGCAGGAGGGAGGGCAGGAAGGACCAGGCGGGCTCTCAGCCCACCCCGCGCCCTCTGCAAGGACGCCCTTACTAGAAAACCGCTAACAGGGAAGGCAAACCATCAAGCAAACCAGAGGAGTCAACTGGCCGCCAGCTGCCCTTTGCTCCCTTTGGCGAAACCCCTGGGGCGCAGCTCGCTGTCTGTGGGACCAACACCCGCGTGTCTGCGATTCCGACCCTTCTCAGGACGGCGGGCCGAGAGCCCCACCCCGCCAGACCTCCGTCAAGGACCCCGCCGGCCGGCCTCGGCCTCCAGTTTCACAGCCTCTGCGCTGCCAGCCTTTTCTTTCTCTTTGCTCCCGACATAACCCCAAACCCCTTACCCCACGCCGACACTCGTTCTTTCCATGCCCTGCCCTTCCCTCCCTTTGAGAAGCTAAATAGACTTTCTTTCCTTAGAGCTATTCGAACATCTGCGTGGAGAAATCGTTCTCCACCCGCTGGTGGACTCACAGCCCGACCCCTCCCTCCTTCCTGCAGGTCCCTCCACCCTGCGGACTCTCCGGCCACCGCTCACCGCCACCCCGCCTCCACCGCCGTGTCTCAGACCTTCCCGGCCACCTGCCCTGTCCCGTGTGTGTCCCTCCCCGGCCCCATCCTGCGCGTGAAGGACAAGCCCAGCCGGGGAGGACAGAGAAGTCAGGGTGTGGGGGACGCCTGGCACCCAGGACCCGAGGACAGGGACGGCCCAGACCCAGGGCTCCCAAAGGAGGGACAAAGGTGAGCCAGGCCACACGGCCAGGGGGAGGTCAAGCTTAGTGGGGCTTCGTGGCTGCCAGCACAGCCACGTGCCAGGACACGGTGGATAGGGCTGCACATGTGAAGGAAGAGTAGCCACCAGGGTGTCACGAGATAAACAGGATAAACCGCTTAGAGACACTGTCCGACCAGAGCTGGACCTCAGCAGGACACTGGGGACAGTCCCCAGGCACCCGCGGGGAGGTGCAGCTCCGGAGACCCCAGTGGGTGCGGTGCTGACCCGGCCACCGTGGCAGCCAGCCTCGCCCACGTGGCCAAGGCCCGAGGCCCCGCCCCCCACCGCCCTCCCGCCCTGAGCCTCTCCGTCCGGGCCACCGCCCGACTCGAGGCTTGGTCTTGCTTCCTGTCAACGGCCTCACCGTGCTGCCATCCCAGCCCGGTGGCAGGCCTGCTCTCCCCCGCCGGGCGTCGTGAGCACTCCAGCCTGCGCCCGGTGCCTTCCTGCACAGGGCGTAAACCCACCCGCTGCTGCAGGGCAGGGCCCTCACCAAGTCAGCGAGCCTCGGGGCTGCGTTTCCCTGTGACACTGAAAGTGACCATTTTGGGCCCACCCCCCTGCTGTGCCTGCCTTTTTTTTTTTTTCCATAGCCGTGAGGGTAGTTCCCCGCACCTCCTCGGGTGGTGGGACTCCGTGCTGGCTACAAACGCTGCAAACACATTCTCCCACTCTGGCTTGCTTTTCAACTTATTCTTAAAATTAATTAATGTATTTATTTTTCAAGACAGGGTCTTGCTCTGTTGTCTAGGCTAGAGTGCCATCACGTCATCATAGCTGGCTGCAGCCTCGAACTCCCGGGCTCACACGATACTCCTGCCTCAGCCTCCAAGCAGAGAGGACTATGGGCACCACCACACCTGGCTATTTCTCTATTTTTATGTTTTGCAGAGATGGGGCATTGCTATGTTGCTCGGGCTGGTCTCCAACTCCCGGCCTCAGGCAATCATCCCACCTTGGCCTCCCAAAGTGCCGGGACCACAAGTGTGCACCACCATGCCAGGTTTTTTCTTTTTTTTTTTTTTTTTGAGACAGAGTCTCACTTTGTTGCCCCGGCTAGAGTGAGTGCCGTGGCGTCAGCCTAGCTCACAGCAACCTCAATCTCCTGGGCTCAGGCGATCCTCCTGTCTCAGCCTCCCAAGTAGCTGGGACTACAGGCATGTGTCACCATGCCCGGCTAATTTTTTGTACATATATATTTTTAGTTGTCCAATTAATTTCTTTCTATTTATAGTAGAGACGGGGTCTCGCTCTTGCTTAGGCTGGTTTTGAACTCCTGACCTCGAGCAATCCGCCAGCCTTGGCCTCCCAGAGTGCTAGGATTATAGGCGTGAGCCACCGCGCCCGGCCGGGTTTTTTCTTAATGGTGTCTTTTACTAAACAGAAGTTTGTAGTTTTGATGGAGTCGCATTCATCAAACTCTCCCTAGGAGCGAGTGCACTTTGGTCTCAGGAAGGGTCCCTAACGGGGCTGGTGTCCTCAGCTACCTCCTGGAAGGCCGGGTTGGCGTTTGTGTGTTCTCAGGGGACAGACTCTGCCGTCCCGGCGCAGATGCTGCCTGCCCAGGGCACGGTGCCACCGCGGCCCCACCGGCGGGCCGTGCGCACGCAGCCCCAGGTTGCCCGTGCGCTGTGGACAGCGGGCAGGGTCTCACCCTGGTGTCACGTCACGCGGCAGAAGGGACTAAGGCTGCAGCTGGCCTCAAGACAGAAGGTTAGGGGGCGGGTTCAGGGGCCAGTGGGACCCCACGGGCTTCTGAAGGGGGAGGGGCAGGGAGGCGAGTGTCAGCGGGCAGCCGTGAAGGCTCGGCCACCGTGCCCACTCTGAGATGGAGGCCGGGCACCTCCGCCAACAGCCTGGCGAGCCTGGAGCGGCCTCCCCCGGGGCCTGCTGCCCGCACTGCTCCCAACCCAGCAGGACTGGCCTCGACCTGCAGGACGCAAGGTCAGGGCCTGGTGTGCAGGACCGGCGGGAGCTGAGGGCCAGCCCGCCCGACCCCTCTGCCCCGGCGCGGACCCAGAGGCATGCTCGCACACACGGGCGCACGCCTGGGGCCAGCATTAGGGCTGCATGGAACCCACATCAGCTAGGGGACAAACACTGATCCGAGCTGGAGTCCCTAAACGTGACGTTCCCAAGGGCCAGGCGGAGCCGGGTGGGCTGCAGGCTGTAAAGCACGGAGCAGGACACGGACTCACCCCCGCACAAGGAGTCCCGTCTGGCGGTCAGGACGGCTGGCCCTGGGCGCAGTGGCGCACACCCGCAGCTCTGGCACTTTGGAAGGCCACAGAGGGAGGATCGCTTGGGCCCAGGAGTTCAAGCCCAGCCTGGGTGACAGAGTGACAGGAGGCTCCGTCTCAAAAAAAAAAAAAGAAAGAAGAAAAGGTGGCTGAGGGCACAGCAGGGAGGGACCGGCGGCCACAGTCCCACGTGCCCAGGCCAGAGCTGGAGCAGCAGGAGCCCTGAGGGCTGGGAGAGGAGGGCTGGAGTGCGCCGGCACCAGGAGGCCCCAGTGACGTGCTGGGGCCGCCCCGTGAGAGGGTCGGGATGCGCCCGACGGGGAGGACTCGCGGGCCACTGTCTGGTCCAGCTCTGCTCCTGAGGCCGCTAGCTGGGACGGTCCCACCCCAGGGACGGGAGCTGCTGTCCCAGGTGTGCACTGTTGCCCCGCCACACGCCCAGGAAGGCAGGGAAAGCCCCAGGAGAATGTTCCGGCAGAGGGGCCAGGGTGCCCGGGGGCTGGACATGGCCTCAGTCCTGAGCTGGCAGGAGGCTGGAGGGGCCCGTCCGGCCCCATGGCCCACCCGGCACCGGGTCAGCTTTGGCAGCCGTGCTGAGGGGGCAGGGCTGGACGGGGGGGGGGGGGGGGCGCCTGTGCCCCCCGGTGGGGGCGGGTGGCGCGCAGAGGCCAAGCCTCCTTCCGCCCGCCAGGTGGGGGGCGCATCCCAGGGACACAGATGCCTCTTTGTCAGGGCCGAGCTGGGCCCGCGGAGCAGCCGCTGGAACAAAGGCCCTGTGTCCAGGCTGTGGCCTCCGCTCACACGCGGGGCGCCAGGAGAGAGCCAGCCGCCGGGCTCCCACGGGCGGCCTTCCGCACACACCGGGCACGTCCACGGCCCCGGGCAGGGGGAGGCCGTGCTCGCAGCCTGGGGCCAGGGCGCAAGCGGAGTCCGGGATGGAGAGGCACAGGGGGCCGTCCAGGGCCCTCTGACACTCACCTTGCCTGGCCCCACCACCCGCCCCGGCGTCTCCTCCCAGCACAACCCGACAGGGAGGCACAGGGAGGCACATCTGCCCCCCTGAGGGGCCTCTGCAATTCACTTCTGAGTCCCCCAGACTGCGCACGGCCACCAGACCCATAATGACCTCCTCGGGGGACCAGCCCAGCCCACCCCCATACTGCTGCCCCAGGGCCTGGGCTCTGGCCAAGGTCGGAACAGCCCCAGCCCTGGGGCCAGCACGTGGCCTGGGGCTTCGAGTCTGCCCTGTCCCTGAGGCCACTGGGCCCTAGAACCTGTTCCTCCAGGACCGGCCAGGCCAGGGGAGGTCCCCACAGGGAGGCTGTGCCTGCCGGTCCTCAGCGTCCGGGCGGCAGAATCCAGATGAGGCCAGGCAGCGCTCCCGCCAGCCTGGCCAGCTCCTGCCGACATTGTCCCTGCAGCCGATGCAGCGCCGCCTCCAGGCAGGCCTCCTGATTCCTCAGTGCCTGGATCACCTCGGCCGCCCGCAAGTACTGTCCTCCAGGTGCCTCATCCTCGCGCCTCACCAGCCGGTGGGGCCCATGGGGCCGGGCTGGGCCCCTGTCTTGCTCCCAGGCCCGCCGCAGGGCCGCCAGCTCCTGCTCCACAGCCTTCTGCAAAGCCTGCCGCGCGGAGCGCCACTGCGGCCCCCGGCCCTGGCCTCCCACCTGCACAGACAACAGAAACGTGGTGCTGGCAAACCAAGGGCAGCCCCGTCCCCCAGGATGCTGCCTCCGCCCCCTGAGCACTCCCTGGGCCCAGACACAGGCCCTAGAGACTGAGCCCCAGACAGCGTGGGCCGGCCCCAGAGGACCCCTGTCCTGGGCTCTGCATCAGCCTCGCCAGGCACCTGACTCCTAAGCCAGGGGCACTGGGCAGCCTGCCCCCCCGAAACCCTGCAGGGCAGGTCCCCAGCTCCACCCCCGAGGGGACACCCACTCCAACCCCACCCACCCATTCAGGGCTCGGCCCATTCCCCACCACGCGCCACTCTCTGCTGAACAAGCTTCCCCCTTTCCGCTGACCGAGGGGACGCTGGTACGGCCCAGGGAGCTGCCTGCCACCACTGCCTCTAGCCCTCAGGGCAGCCCCCATCCCACAGACACTGCGGGCAGCTGGCCTGCTGGGCTGGGGTCGTCCTCGAGCCCCCAGCCCACACCACAGAGCACAAAGCGGCTGCGCCTGGCTGTCCCTGGGGCAGCACCCGGGGACCCTGGCGTCCCGTGTCAGAGGCGGTGCGGCCCTGAGCCAGACGGGCGTGAGGCGGCTCCGCACACGTCACGGGGTCCCCTCCCTGCGGAAGAGGGCGGGGCGCCCCGGCTGGGGCTGCAGACAGTGGGGACGCAGGGGACACCCGCCGGGGAGGGGCGGCAGCTATCTCCATGGTCAGGGTGACGTGCCTCGGGCAGGCAGGAAGCACCCGTGCTCCTCGGAGAGGGGAGATCGCGTCTGCGATCTACGTTAAAATGCCGCAGAAAAAGAAAACAGACGCAGCAAGCGTGGCCCTGCCTTTACAGCCGTGGCCCGCCCGGTGAGAGGGCACGGGCGGTCAGGGCTGGGGACCCACGTGCCCACCCGCGGCCCCGGGTATGGCGTGGAGGGTGGTGGCCAGAGCCTGGGTGACGTGCGGCCGAGCCCCTCGCCGACGAAGGAGCCCTGGGAGACCAGCAGAGTGGTCTGGGGATGTGGCGAGGCTGCTGCGGGGCGGCAGGGACGCTGTGCCCAGCGCCTGCCCTCCCTCCGCTCCCGGCGCTCCCACCGTCCGGCCCTCCCCAGGGGGCCGAGGGCAGTGCTGGGGGCTCACCCTGGCCGCCCAGGCCGCCCGCCTGCGCTCCGAGGCCTCGCACAGCTCCTCCTGCAGCGCCCGCAGCTCCCGCGCCGCCAGCTCCAGCTGGCCAAGCCCACGCCCTGCGATCCTGGGCAGGACGGTGGGCTGTGTGGCCGCAGCCGGGGCCTCTGGGGGGCAGGCTCCCAGGACCGTGTCCTGTAGAGAGAGGCCCGAGTGAGAGGGCGCCGCCCGGCACAGGGACAGAGCGCAGGGCCGGGGCGGTGGTGGCCTCCTGAGGCCCCGCGGGGGCCGGAGAGCTGCTGCTTCCCCAGCAGGCCAAGACCCAGGGAGCACAAAGACCCCCGTCTAAAAGGCTGCAGACCCCCGACAAGTCCAGGCCAGAGCAGGGCGGCCACATTGGGCCGCCCCACAACATGGCAGGACGTCCTAGAAGGAGCCCCGGACTCGAGCCGCCGGCCCTGGGCACAAATGTGGCTTCACTGTGGTGGGGGTGGCGTCTGCTTCCTGCCCGAGGGACGGAGAGACCCTGGCCCACCACAGGGCTGCTGTGGTCCGCGAGAAGGGGAGCAGGGCAGGAGGGCAACGGCTTCCTTACCATCCACCGCCAGAAGACCAGCTCGCCCCGCCGCCACTCCAGAGCGGCCTCCAGGCCCACGTTCTCGCGCTCCAGCCTCCGCAGCAGCTGGAAGGCAGAGCACAGCTGGGCACAGGACCTGCCCCCATCCGCCCCGCCCCGCCCTGCGGGCACAGGAGGATGCAAACGGAAGGCTGCAGCGCCAACAGTAGCCCAGGAGGCTGAGCAGTCACCCGGCCGCACATCATTCCAGAAGCTTCTAGGACCTGGCCCTGGAGTGCAGGCCCTTTGGGTAGGCCGGGCCCAGGCTCTGGCCAACTCGCCCTCCACAGCCCTGGAAGGAAGCCGACCCATGGCTGCAGGCCACCACCCCCCGCAGTCCTGCGGCACCAACACCTGCCAGCCTCCAGGGGACAGGACCCTCTCCACGCCAGGCCCCCCACATCAGAGCAGTGGCCCACAGGGGGGTCCCAGGCAGGACCAGGCAGGGGCCAGGGCAGCCTCTGCTCTGTCCAACCCAGGGGCTGGGAGCCTGGGCCTCGCTGAGTCACCTTTAAAACGGGGACAAGGGCAGGTGGGGACGCCCAAATGCTGCCTCAGCACCTCCAAGGCCAGGCGCAGGCCCTGCTGGGATGGGGCCAGGCGGGCTGAAGCCAGGGATGCGGGCCCAGCTGGCACCAGGCCAGGCAGGTCACAGCGGGCACCATGAGCCCACCACAGGCACGCAAACCCCAGGGGCACGAGGCCCGGAGCTGTAGCCGCTGCCAGACTAGCCGTGGCAGGAAGCCCCAGTGATGGCAGGACAGAGGGGACCAGGAGCCAGGCCGTCTGCCTCTGACCCTGGGCCCGGTCCTGCCTGCCCCGGGACAAGGTGGAGGGCCAAGTCTCTGGGGCCAGGGAGGGAAGAGGCAGAGAGGAGCTGGGCCTGGGAGGAGGGCCCACCATCCCTGGGCCGCAGCCCTCCCTCCCAGCCAGACATGCCAGGGCAGGGCAGAGCCCAGCCTGCAGGGGACAGCCAGCCCTGCCCCTGTCCCCTGGGCCAAAGCCAGCAAGAGGAAGGAGCCAGTAATGATGGTGGCAGGCCCCTACAAAGAAGGATGGGGGTGGAAGGCCAGCAGAAACAGGGTGGGAGACAGCAGAGCGGGAGGAAGCAGACGTCCTTGTGAAGGCACTGGGCCAGTCCAACTCTAACACTCTTCCAGGTGGTGTCCCAGCAGCTCGGACAGGCCCCACATGGGCCCAGGCTCTGAGGGGCAGTTGTCCCCTCCTATAGCCAGCCCTGTGCCCAGCCCTTTGCCCGGCATGAGCTGTGAGCTGGGCCAGCCCTCCCCACCCCCAGGGCCCCCCCACCACACTGGGCTCAAGGCGCCAGGACCATCAGATCAGACCTAGATGGGTGTTCCTTAATTCCAGCGTCCCCACTGCAGCTGGCTGCCAGCCTGGCGCCAAGACCCGTGCCCCTTGGGCCCCGCCCGTGCCCAGCCACAGAGGACCTGCACACAGCACCAGTCTGGAATCCTGGAGGGGGGACGGCCCATGGGGCCAGGAGAGGCCCAGAGGACATCCCTGTCACACTCCCAACCCCCAGCAATGATGGTGAGCGTGGCTGACACCCAGAGACACCCTCAGCTCAAAGCTGGTCAACTGTCCTCCCCAACAGGCCCTTCCCCACCGGGCGTGGCACCCACCCCAGCACCTCACCAGCCCTCACCTGCTGGCCGCCCTCTGGGTCCCTGAGCATCTCCGTTTCAGCAACAGACAGATGGCCCAGACGCTGGTCGCTATGGCAGCCGCGGGTATACAAGTGGATCTGAAACAGGCAATGCAGACCCCAGGCTGAGTGGGGACAGCGACCTCCCCCAGCCCTGGCCCCCACCAGTCCGGTGAGGTTGCCCTTTGCCCGCCTTACAGACATGGAACTAGGGCTGCGGGACAGGAGGGGCTCAGGAAGCTGTCAGCAAGGCTGGGGCTCCCTGTGGAGGGAAGGGCACCAGGCTGTCTCATCCCGGCCTCCCCATTTCACCCAACCTCCCAGGCAGCAAGAGGACTGGGGAGGCACCCCGCCCACCCTCCCTGCCTGCTCCGTGCCAAGCTCCCCAAGTGCAATCCTGCCCTCAACGGCCCAAGTGGCAGGAGAGACGTCCTCTGGACAGGCACAGCGGTCCAGCAAGGCCAGTGGTGGGGACACAGCGACTTTCAGTCGAGGGGGGCAGGGAGGGCTGCACAGAGAGGGGACGCTGGAAGGCGACACACAGGTTCACAGGTGGGCGTGCCCATGGGGGAATGCCTGGAGCCAAGGCTGGGCAAGATGGTGTTGAGTGGCCCCAGGAAAGACTGGTTGAGTGACAGACCTTCCGCAAGGGGGCAGGGTTCTGCACCGAGGAGCCCTGCACTGCTGCTGCCACCACCCAGCACATGGCAGCCCTGACCTCACACTGAGCACACACTGGGCACCTGTGACCCTGCAGCTGACCCCACCACCCAAACCCACCCACACCCAGGATGTGGTGGGAGGAGGGTTGCCCAGAAAGTAGCAGCTCCGCCATGCCACAGAGCCCACCCGTTGCTGGTGATACGGTCCCAAAGCCTCTCCTTCAGGGAACAAGAAGGCCAAACTGTGAGCTCTCTGACACCCAACTTCTGCCCTGCCCGTGGGGCAAGATGCTGCCGCCCACCGGCTCCCTGCCCTAGCACTGCTCACCTCCATCCTGCCCTGGGCCCCCACCTGGACCCCCAGGAGCCACGGGCACGGGCTCCAGGCCACTCAGGGCAGCACCCAGGCCCTGCCAGCCCCAGCTAGGCCTAGGAAGGCTCACATCCACCCTGCAGCCTGGGACCCAGCCATGCCAGGCCCAGCAGACAGGCTGCAGGAAGGGCAGGGGGCGGCCCTGGGTGGAAAGCCACACGCTGGCCCTACCTTGCTCAGGAGGGCGCACTGCTCCTGCTGACTGGTGATCAGGCATCGCCACCGGAACCGCAGCCTTCCCATCAGCCACTGCACACAGCGGATGTCCACAGGGCCCTCTGCTTCCACGTGGGGTGCCCGGGGACCAGGGCTGGCCAGGGCCTCACACTGGAGAGGGGCTGTGGGTCAGCCCCTGCTCCCACACCCCACCGTGCCCTGGAGGGGCTGGGGCACAGGGCAGTGGAGACACCTCCATGTCCTGAGCCGGGCAGCGGGCAGCGCCCTCCCAGGTCTGTCCTGGGGATCAGAGCAGGAGACTCGGAGGGGCTGGCCCAGGCCTGCCCTGGCTCTGGCCCCAGGACTGGAGACTAGGGAGGCACCCGGGCATCCAACCAGGGCTGGGCCCCGCTCCTCCCACGCCCACCCACCTCGCACACAGGCATCTCGTCACCCAGCTGCACGTGGGCCTGGGCCAGCAGCCGCTCGGGCAGGGGTCCTCGGGCCAGGAGCCAGGACAGGGCCAGCAGCAGCTCCCTGCTGCCCCGGGAGCCGTCCTCGGGGAGTTGTGCCAGCACCAGCCTCGGGTAGCCCTGGGAGCGCAGCGCTGCCTTCACCCAGCAGGCCTGGGCCTCTGGGATAGGAGACCACCAGTCAGGGGGCCACACACCTGGAGGTGATACCACCTGGGCCTCTTCAGAGACCTCCCAGGACCCCCAAGCAGAGGCACAGCTCAGAAGGGACAACGGGGGCGTGTCTGGGACTCAGACCGGTAGAGGCCAGGGGCCAGCGGGGACGGGGCTTATGTAGCTGGGCGGGGCCAGGGCCTAACCAGTACCGAAGCTTTAACAGGAGGAGCCAAGCCTGCGCGACCTGGGTGGGCGGGGCCAGATCATATGGGGCGGGGCTTACCGTGGAGAGCGCGGCTTACAGGGGGAGGGGCTTTGCTGAAGTGGGCGGAGCCAGTGCCCGAGGGGCGGGACTTACCCAGGGCGGGCGAGGCCGAAGTTCCGTCTGCGGACTGCGGCGACAGCAAGCGGAAAAGGAGCTGCCAGAGCGCAGGAGCCTGCAGAAAATTAAAAGGGGGCGGTCAGCCGCGCCAGCCCGCCTCCCCGGTCCGCCCTGGGACCCACCGCGCAAGCCTCACCGCCTCTGGCCGGTCGAACTTGGCGCGGCGGAAGATCTCGGGGCTCGGCCCGGCAGGCAGAGACTGACTCAGCGCGGTGATAACCTTGGGCAGGGCCCCAGCCCCGGCCTCGGCCACCGCGCCCGCCAGCCGCCGCCGCCTCCCCATCCAGCCGGCACCAGCCGCCCTTGGACCGCGCGCTGCCGCCGGGCCGGGCCGAGCGACCAATCACGGCGCCGGCCGGGCCCAGCGACCAATCACCGCGCCGCATGGCCCCGGCCAATGAGCGATGCCCCTGGAGCTTAAGTACAGTCTACTCCGTCCTGTGCGGAGGCACTTCCGGGTGCCAGGCGGGGGGGGGGGCCCTCGGTGTTGACAGCTCCGCGGGGTCAGCCATCGCTGGTCCAATCATCGCAACTCCTGACACTCCTCGCCCAGACCCCACCAATCAGCACCTCACGCCACTGGCAACCTAGCAACCATGGGCGGGCACTGCAGAGGCGCATGCGCCTAGGGGCGCCCCCGGCCGTGGAGGGCGGTGCCGCCGGGCCGCACCCACCCGGGCGGGCAACTGCGGCCCCTCCGCGTGGCCTCCCCGGAAGGGCCGCCAGGGGGCGCCCGGACCCCGCCGCACCCCGAGAGCTCCGGCCGTGCACGCGCGGCGGCGGCCTCCGAGCGCCTGCGGCGGGCTAGCCCGTCCTCGTCCCTGTCCCCGAGGGCCGGCGCTGAAGAGCCGCGCGGCCGCACTTCCATGGAGCGCCGAGACGGCAGGCGACAGGCGGCCACGAGGCACTCAGTGCGGGCGGGACGCTCTGGAGCCACGCGGGGCCGCGGCCGCCCGGGATCCTCGCGCGCTGCAGGCGTCACGGAGGGGCGGGCGGGCACGAGGAGGAGGGAGGACAGACCCCGCGAGGGGCCTGTTCCCGCCCCGCGCAGTCCCCACCTCGCCCTGCCACCCGCCCTGGGCACCGCCCGGGCCGCTCACCTCTTTGGCGCACTCCAGGCTCGCATCAGCGCGGCCTGGGACCCCCACCGACTGCCCCTCTGCACAAAGCAGCCCAGAGGCCGCCCTGCCAGGACACCTTCCTAGGCCCTGCAGCCCTTAGGATCAAGACCACATTCCTCACCCTGCCCACGCTGGTGCCCAATCCCTGGGGTCCCTTGAACCCAGGGAGACTTTCCCCTCTGAGGGCCTTTGCAGCTGCTGTACCTTCTGCCTGGGGTGTCCCCCACCCCCACCCCAGCTGCCCTCGGCTCTTCCCGCAGGCTTCTGCTCCAGGTTTGCCCCCAACCTGGACTGTGAGCTACTCTGGGGCGGGGGCCACGAGGACAAGGCTGCTGTGTACCTCTGCTGCCTAGCTCAGGCTGCCCCTCCCAGAGCTCCAGGTGGACCAGGTGTGGCTGAGTCTCAAAGCCCTCAGTCCTCCCAGCACCACAGGCTACTGAGGTCTCACTGCAGCATCCTCTGCTCTGTCCTCCCCCACCCCATCCCATCCATCGGGAAAATCCCTGTCTCCCACCTCTTGGAATTCCAAGAATCACCCAATCACACACACACCCTGCCCTACAGGATGCCCTTGACAATCTGCCCGGTTCATGCCTGCAGCACCCCACCAAAGCCCTAAGGCAGGCCCAAGAGGGCCCCTCTGACCTCGTGAGGTCCGTAGGGTCCTGGGAGGGGTGGCCTTCACCTGGGGGGTGGCCAGTGTTGGGGAGGAGGGCCTAGGGTGAGGGGAAAACAAGGACATCAGACAGTGGCTTCTAGGTCAGGGGTTGAGCAGCCATCAAGACCTGCAGAAACCAGAACCGCCCTGGGTGGCGCGGCAGGAAGTGGGAAGGGAGAAGGCATGGACTCCCCACCACAAGCCCCGAAAGCTGCTCTGCTCAGAAACGGAACCAGCAGGAGATGCAACTGATTCACCCTCCCTGCAGCCCCACCCACTCCCAGGCCTCAAGGTTCCTCTGACCCTTCGGCCCGGGGCCTGCAAAACTTCCCCTCATACCGTCCCAGAACCACCAGGAGAGCTCAGGGGCATCTCTGTGGGCCTGGGAGGCACACAGGTGGGTCAGTGCGAGGGATGGTGCCAGATGTCCAGGATGGCCTGGGCTCTGGCCCTGCAGTTGGGCCTCTGGCCTGCGAAGTACCCAGAAAGGGCCCCCAGGAGGACAGCGGGCAGCAGTGCCTGCAAAAGCAGGAAGGGCAGCGCCTGGGCCAGAACCAACCCCCACCCCTGAACTGCAGCCCCTCAGGTACTCCCCGGCATGCACGAGCGCACACCACACACACACACTGGGCTCTACCACATGGTCACGTTTATTGAAGGCATGAGGGGCACAAGGGGGCCCTGGGTGTCTGGGGGGAGGCCCGGCTTCGGCATCAGCATCAGCATCGGCCTGAATGGCGGCCCAGCAGGTGGGGACGGAGGCTCCACAACCTGCGCACGGAGAGACAGACGTGAGTGCAGCATCCACCTGCTCCCTCCTGCCCAAGGAGCAGTCAGACCTCTCTGTGGATGGGGAGGTCCCCACCCAGAGTGCAGATCAGCTGGGCAGGACTGGGGGTTTATACCTGGGTTTACTTGAAAGTGTGACTCTCAGCTCCACCCCGCCCGAAGCCTGCAGAGAAAGAGAGAAAACAGTCAACGGGTGGGCTGGGCCTGTGAGGGTGGGGAGGGTCATGGGGGGGAGGGGGCATACCTTTGGGCCCGAACATGGCAGAGTAGCAAGGGTGGTTGCAATAGGGCTTGCCTTCATGCTGCAGAGAGAAAAGGTATGAGGGGTGTGACCACCACCCCCTCCCCACTGCACCTGCCACACTCCCCGGCCCCCACTCACCTCGCTGCACCTGCCACACTCCCCGGCCCCCACTCACCTCGGCGTGACCCCCGGAGGTGAGCGTCTTCCCACATTTCTCACACTTCAGGCAGGGCCGATGCCAGTCCTTGCCCAGAGAGGTCACCCGCTCAGCTGCAGAGGTACAGACAGGCTCCGCGTGACCACTGCTCTGGGGTCACAGGGCATGCCCACCGCCGGCAGACCCCCTCCTCCGCCCACACCCTAAGCTCTCAGCCTGCCCCAGTGCCCCATGGGGAGAGGGGGCACCTCCAGGCCCCTCAGGCCAACACAGCGTCTTTGGTCCTTGGGGTACTTCTAGGCGCAGTCCCTGGCCCTTGGCCCTGAGGGCTGGGTGGGGCCCCCAGGCCCAGAGTTGGGGGAGCGGGTCAAGGGGCCTAGGGCCAGGCCGCCCGGGCTAAGCCTTCTGGCCTCTACCCGGGTGCCTGGGGTGGAGCTTAAGGGCGCCCTCGTCCGCGGCCTGGGGCAGGAGGGTACGTCCCCCTGCCCCCCCTCCCTCCCATGGGTGGAACCCCGGGCGCGCGTGGGCCAGGAGGCAGGCGCCCCGATCGCGCCGCGGGCGCCGGTTTCCGCATCTGTTTCTACTTAGCGTTGGGAGGGGCGGCCCCAGCTCTGGGTTCCTTCCTACCCTGCGGGTCCCAGCCCAGGGCGCGCCCGAGACACGAGAGAGAGCAGGACCCGGAAACGGAGAGTCCCGGACGGGGCACCCAGAGACGGGAAGACTCAGAGACAGACAGCGGAACATGGAGGACGCCCCCACGCAGGGGGTCTCCTCTCACCCCCGGCACCCGCGGGCAAGGCTGAAGTTCTGCTCCACGTGGCGCCCAGGGGTGCCCCCGCGCCCTGGATCTACCTAAGCGGCCCCAGCCCCGTCGCGCCTCCCCGCGCTTCCGCGAGGGCCGCGCAGTGCGCCCCGGGGCGCCGGGCAGGGCGTGGGCCGCAGGTGGGCGCGCTCACCGAAGTACACCTCCTTGTCGCACTTGGGGCACTTGGGCATGGCGGCGCCGGGTCCGGGGCTGAGGCTGAGGCTGCAGCTGGACAGAAGAGGCTGTTGGCGGGAGACTGGGTGGGTCCTGCTGGGTCGGAGTCTTTCAGGGACCCCGGGACCCCGCCCCTTTGGGACCCCGCCCTAAGCCCCGCCCCCGGGATAGAGGACTTGGACCCTGGGGACCTCAGATCGGGCCAACCGGCCGAGAAAGGTCATCTGGTCCACCTCTGCCCTCAGGCGGGGCCCGGGGCCCAGGCCTGGCTGAGGACAACAGAGGCCACGGGGTCGCAGGGTATTCGCGGGACTTTCACGGGGGCGAGGCTCCTGGGGCGAGCTCCAGCCCCGCCCCTCCCCCAGGGCTCAGAAGCCCGCGGTGTCCCGCCGGGGCGAGGGGCTCCCCCGGGCCGGCAGGAGCGCTGCGTCCCGGCCTCATCCCACGGGCACCTGCCCGAGCCCCTAGATCTGCTGGAACCCGAGACAGGCCGGGACACCTTTGCAATGCAAATAGATGCAAATTAGCATGCGTACACACTTTGACCCTCCCCTCCCCAAGGTAGAGGGTTGGGGACTCTTGCCTGGTAGTGCCCCTCCCGAGGAGCCCCACTGCGGCCTTCCAGCCCCCGCGCGGCCGGGAGGCTCGCCCTCCCCAGCCCTCACTCCCGTGGGACGTTCCCCCACCCCCGCCGCTCCCTGGAAAGTCCATCGGACCGCAGCGGGAACGTCCCCGGGGAATTCGGAAGAGGAGCCTCCAAGCCAGGGTAATCTAAGCTTGGGGACCGATCGGTTGAGAGGCCGGGGCGAGGGTGGGGTGCGGCCACGCCCAGGCCATCTCCGACCTGCCCCCGCCCGGCCCGGGGAGGGCTCCTTATCTCGTGGGGGGGGCATCTCGGAGCCGTCAGTGTCCGCCGCCGCCCAGGCTGGGTGGAGGCTGGCTCCGCGCCTTCCCGGTGCCGGGCGGAGACGGCCCGACCCCGCTCGCCAGGAGATTGGGGAGGGCTGCGGGGTCGCCCCTTCATGCGCGGCAGCCTGGAGTTCCGTGTGATTTCTGGTGTTGGGGCCACCAGTCCACCCCTCTCCCTTAGCCAGACCCTGCCTTCCCTCCTGTGCCCCTGGTCCCTCCGCCCTGACAGCCCTCCCTCCCTGCCTCTGCAGGCCCTTGCGTCCTGCCCCAGCCCCTGCTCTCAGCCCTCTCCCTGCCCCAGCTCCCAGCCTCCCTGCCCACCCTCCCTCCCTCCAGCTACCCCGTTACCGGTGTCCTCATCTCTAGACACACCCAGCTAAAAAAACAAAACGTCATCTCTGGGCCTGTCCAGTTTTCATCACCCTGGAGGGTGCTGGACACCCTCCTCGAGGGCATGGCCCCAGGCGCCCCCAGCCCCAGCGGGCATGCAGCCCCAACTGCACCTGTGACCCCAACCTTGCCTTCCCTGAAGCCCGGCTCCCCACTAGCAGCCCCCAGAGGCCTGGCACAGAGAGGAGGGAGGGAAGCCATGGAGTCCTCCAGCTCAAGACCCTTGCCCCAACTCACTGTCTGGGCGAGGCCCCAGCTGGGGGTGAAGGTAGGAGCTCCAGGCGTGGAGGGTGACTGAGGCACTTGTGTGTGGCACAGTGGCCACATGTCCAGCCCAAGGCCACACACACCCTGCATCCCCACGTCTCTCTGGGCACCACCTTCCTCCCCAGGACTCCCTTCCTTGAGCCACCGTTCTGCCCCACTGGGGCTCTGCAAGTCTGGGTCTGTGATGACATTCTGCAGGGTCCCCTTGGAGCCTCCCCCCCTCTAGTTCGGAAACAGCTCAGCGGGGGGTGGGGGTGGGAGGGGCTTCCACAGCAGGGGTGCACTCCAGCCCTGCAACCTCAACCTCGCGACCCTGGTTTCCAGCCTGGTAAGCCTTGAAACCCACTCTCAGGTCTGGGTCCACCTGCCCCTCCCTGGCCGGCACAGGGGCTTCCCGGTGTGGTGTCTGGAGCTGGGGCCACCAGTCCACCCTTCTCCATAAATTAAATTCTAGGAGTCTCTACTCCTTGGACTGGGCCAGACTGGCGGGGAACAGGAAGGCAGGTCCTGACTTCCCTCATCCCTGGCCCTGGGGACCGGCCTCTCCCTCTGCCCAGCTGCCTGCACTTCTGTCCCTGGCAGAGTCTGTGTCTCCGGGTGGGGTGTGCACACCCTGTCTCCCCCACTGGCTCTTGTCTCTCATCTCATCCCGCTGCTCTCCAGACCACCTCCTGACGAGGTGCCAGGCCCCAGGCCCGGAAGGGGGACGGAGAAGTGGCCCAGTAAAGATGCTGTGGACGTGGGGAGCTGGGTGGGGCGGCACAGTCTCAGGGATGTGGGATGGTCTCTGTTGCTGCAGGTTCGGGCCAGGCCACACACACACACACACACACACACACACACACCACCTTGCTGTTCACAGAGGTGGGACAGCCGCCCGCCTGGGGTGTGTGCTGTGCAGAGGCTGCAGGGCACCGTGCACAGGACGTGGTGCCCCAGGGTGCAAGGGCTGTACCCACAGGCATACCTGCGTGGGTGTGTCCATCCAGGCAGGGCATTGCCCCAGTCCCAGCCCTCCCCTCCACCCGCAGCCCCAGGGACGGCCCCTCCCCCCACACTCTGGACTCCAACCCGCCCTGCCCGGCAGGGAGCCCCCCCTTGAAAACCAGAGTGATGAGTCCCTTCCTGGCCTTCCCCGCTGTTATTTCCTGTTGCCATGGTCACGGGGAGGGGCGCGGGTAGGATGCCTTGGACATGGGGCTGCTCCCTCTGTGTTGGTACACGCAACTTTTCCAGAGACTCAACACCAATGCACACACACAGACACCCTCACAGAGACACACACAGACATGCTTATGGACACACACAGACACACGGACACATGTGCAACACACACACACACAAAATCCCTGGAACCCTCCCAAAACTTCAGCCACACACCGACGTGCCCCTCCAGCTCCCTGTCTCCTGGCTCCTGACCCATCCTGCCTGTGGGGGCAGGGTCCCCTCATCAGCTCCTCCTCCACCCAGCACTGCCCGCCCGTCTGCGGCTGGGTGGGGGGCAGGTAGGGGAGACCCCAGTTCCCAGCGGGTGCAAGGCCTCTTGCTTCCATCAGCTCCTCTGGCCCCTCTACCCCTCACCCCTCTGGCCGGGGTGCTGGTGGCTTTGTAGCATGAACAAACGGAGGACAGAGTGGGAGGGCAGGGCAGGACACTGAGCTCCCAGCTGCTGCCCCAGGCTGCCTCTGTGCCCAGAACGTTCCGCCCTGTCCCAGACAGTGTGAGGGCACCCTAGGCGCCTACCACCCTGCGCCCTCAGCCTGCCCTGCTTTGCCCGGCGGGAGGTCTGGAGACACCAATGCGCCACCCTGTAGCCATGCGTGGACCCCAGGAGCCTAACTCCAGAGGCAGGATGGGCCTTGCTGACCGCTGAGGAATCCCGCCACCCACCCTCATCAGGAAAGCTCTGCTCCTCCTGGGGGTGTCTGGGCACCCCCGCCCTTGGAGCCCTCTAGGCCTCCCTCAGCATGCACAGGCTGAGGGGCAGACAGGTGCGAGCATGTTGCAGGCCAGCTGGGCCTGTCCCGTGCTCTCTGTGCCCAGGTGCCCTGCACTGCCAACACACTCTCCAAGAAAAACACGCTGGGCCCCGGCCACACCCGGCTCAGGCCTCCCCAGCGTCCACCCCACCAGGGCCCTCCCCTCTGCCCAGCTGAGTCACAACACTCACAACTTAGTTCCCAGGGTCTATTTTCAGCAGCTGGCCTCCCGGGACCCCCTGTCTGGCCTGAGGTCTGGCCCCAGGGCAGCTCTGAGGTGGGGGGGGGCTGGATACAGACCCCCCAGACAGGGTTCTCCCTTCCTCCAGCCTCACCCCTGCCCAGGTGGGAGGGCTGCGCCGGTCCCACTCTCCTGGAAGCAGCCCGGGCATGGAGAGAAGGGTGTGTGGAGGGCGGGGCTCCTTTAGCCAGCCCTGCCCCCAAAAGGGGTGCATCCCTGCCTGGGGTCCCTGGTCCAGCTGGATAGGGTGGTCCTCCCCTGGCTCCCCTCCCTTGAGGCTGGGGAGGGCCTCACCTGACTCCACCCCATCCGGGCCCTGGGAAAAAGTGCCACCCACCCCTGCCGGCCTGGGCTAGTCCTGGCCCGTGCCTGGCCCTCAACAGCCTAGGTCAGGGGACACTGGCCAGTGAAGTGAGCTGGACCTGGGGACAGGAGGGAGTCATGCCCCTCCTGCAGAGGCTCAGGGAAGCTAGCCAGAGCTGGCTGGGGTCCGAAGAGGGGCACCCAGGGCCCATGCTGGGGGTCACTGGTCCAGGGGAGGCTGGGCAGGGTCCAGAGGGAGGGTGCTGGGGTTCTGGGGCACAGGTCAGAGGGTGTCGGATTCAGGGAAGTAGGGGCACAGGGAGCTGCAGGCTTACTGGCCCCACAGAGATGCCTGGCCAGGGACACAGCAAGTCCCCTCCAGCCCCGGTCAGAGGTGGGGGCGGCCAAGGAAGCACCTGGCCAGGAGGTGCAGGAAGACTGGCCAGCAGGTGGGGGCAGGGAGCAGAATGGGGAAGGAGCCCCCAGTGCGGAGTCTGGCTTGAAGAGCGGCCTGGTGTGCAAGCATGGCCAACTGGGGCCGGGTCACAAGGGCCTGTGGGTCCCTGGACTGGGTCCCCAGAGGGTCTGAAGGGTGAGTGAGGGGGTCAGATGGCATTTCAGGGCCACCTCAGGGCTGGGCATGGCTCAGAGGGCAGGAAGGTGGAGGCTGAGACCAGAGCCGCCTCCCAGGGAGGGATGGGGAAGGCCCAGGGCCAGGTAGACAAAGGTGCCATTCCTGCTTCACTCCGTCTTGAGGGGCACAGGACTGTGGGCACCCGAGGAAGCACCTGGCTCGAGCTGGAGGGCAGCTTCCTGGCGCCGGTGCCACTGAGGGTGTGCTGGCAGTGCCATGGGACCCGGCCACCCCCACTGGCGCTGCCCAGTGGCAACGCTGACACAAACAGTAGTAGCAACCGCCCGGCTTCCATGACAACGCCTTGGAAACAAACACGACAACACTCCATCCTCCAACGCCTGTCAGGAGATGGGGCGGGTCCGGTCCCGCCAGACCAGGGGCGGGCCCCCGCCA